AAGAATAGCTGTCCAACTCAAATCTGGCTGCATTTTCCGATAGAAACAATGAATTTTAGGAAGTCTGATTCCCAATAGACATCCTTAACAAAATCACCTTAGAAGTTTTTCATCAACTTTCTAACAATATCTTCTCTGTAAATTAACTACTTCTTTCTTTATGTTACTATATCGTCTTCAAGTAGTGCATTTCAAACAAATGCCACAAATGTAGCATACAATTGTTCAAACGTCTTTGTGAAGGAAGGTATTTCTGTCAAATACTTCCCTATCTTTGAGAATAAAGATGAACTGACAATATTACTGATGTTGTAAAGAAGCCTATAGAAGTCCGAACTTTTAATTATGAAATACCACCACAACGGTGCCGAGATATTCGCAAAACATGGACCCAGGACCAGATCGAACAGGATAAACGTGGGTCCATCTGGCCCGTGGTCCAAGTTTTGTGAATGTCTTAACTTTACCACAAGGATGCTGTGATATGAGCCAGACTCCCAACCTCAGGTGGGATTCGAACCCACGAGAGCCTTTCCCATAGGTCCGCGTATTATCCACTACCCCATCCAAGGCCTTTGCTTTGCCTTTCTCTCAGCTTGTGGAAGTGCTCATGGATCAAAAAGGATAGCTTCACACGGAGACCTTGTGCTTAAACATCATAGTAGCAGAGTTGCTTTTGAAGAGAAGACCTATGTCACCGATATTTCACGAAAAAATTGACAGAGTACACTTACCTCGATCGAAAAAGCCTGGAATCGAAATATGACCTGTCAATATACTTCTTATGTCGTTCATTTTGCCTTTCATTCATATGACCCAATTTGACAAATTATACGGATCCTATCCCTTCTTTCATTCAGTCCATTTTAGGCGTATTGTCGATCTTTCTTAATTGGATGGGGCTTTCAGGTGACAAATTTGGTAGCAGTTTGTGGAATCCGGAGGGAGAAGAGGATTCGTTAGCTCATCGAACAAGCCTTATGCTTGCTCAACCGACAGGAAATAGATCTGCTGCAGTGAGCTTGATTTGCCTTGAGAACAAGCAGTTCAAATGAAAGGATAAAGCTCTGCGCGTTTTTCGAGCCGTGAGGTACAGGCCAAGCCTCTGATGTTATTAAGCATCGTAGAAGTGACTGATTGCGTATAAGGCCTACTCAGTGACTTTCGGTGTCTTACTGATTTGTCAAATCAGTGCTGCTATCCTTCCAAATCGGGTTCGAGTTTTCCGACCCTGAAGAATCGGTGCATATTGCAGGCCACCTCTAACTGCTGCACTACCCTCATACTAACCTTCCACTTTCTCTTCCTTTTAATGATTATCACCATATTGTAGTGCAAGGATTTGTTTCGACATGTGGAATTGCGATGTCAATGTATGTTGTTCACCTCCAAAATGGTCACACATACTTGGAAGCATTCGATCATGGTAATCCTGCTAAGTCACTTAAAGTTTTGTTGCCTATTTGGTTTATATCATAGTCACATGCAGGCAAATAACCCATCAAGTCACACCTGGATAAGCAGACAGCTAAACCCACGATATAGTGCTCAAGTAGGGACGAGACATGTACGTCATTAATGATAAATCCAACTATATTTACCAGTTATGGGTGGGAATATTCGGTAGACCGTCGAAGAAGTGGTCGTCAATGGAAGGCATCTCCAGCCACTTCGCCTGCCGTGTTATTACTTGTCGTTGTCATTTGAATGAAAAGAGATTAAAAATTAAATGTCTTCAGAAAAGGAGTGGCACTATGAGCCTATGGAACGAAATGTTCTTACCAATAGTTTTAAAACTTTGCATTCATTTTCGTCCCATGTTCAGTCTAACCTTTCTTACGATCTTTCATCTGATTCGATTCGGCACTCGGCTGATTACGAAGACTCACTCATCGCAAAATGTAACTGCCATGGAGACTCCATTGGAATTGTTTTGCTTCTGAAGGACCTGACGGCACTGAATTGCCAGCCATAATAAGAACTTGGCCCAATCATGTGTAAGGTTATCAGTGAACCAAAAGATCCAATTAGTTGTTTTAGGATATTAGGGTTCTGTTCTCTTACGCTCTTTTCGCCATTTCTATTCATCGTCTCAATCATAATATCCTCAGTGTTCCGAGTAGTTTTCGTGGCTACTGATTCAGTGATGAATCACAACTTATCGTTCCTCTTAATTCTATGAAGTTAGAAGTTGTGGTTTGTCTTTGTGGTTTGTCTTCTCACCACTTCAGTAAGAAATCACGCTATGTCCATTCTCTGATGCTATTCGAGTCGTAGTTTCTCTTTTTGTCACATTCTACGCTCATCGTGTACCCATTAAGTGCACGCGGTTGCAACGGAGAAGAAAAACACCGTGGTCAACTGAACAACCCAGGTCATCTTTACAGCGCGAATTCGCTCAACAGCACTCTCACCGGATCACGTTGCCGCCTCTCTTACACTCTCAACAATCTGCGATAACCGATCTCGATGAGAGCCCGGTACTTGTAGAATTATTATGTTCATTCTACATTCTACAGTGTTGTATTTCTTGCCAACATTCCACGTACTTTATCCATCTCTACAATATCGTAGTTTTGTGCTCCAGTAGATACGATTTCAGCTGAACTCACAACACTACAGGTACATCGTGAATGCCACCGTTTGCCTCTTGTGGACAATTGTTAGAAAGAGTCTTTCTTTTCCGAATGTTCTCGCTATGTGAATGTCATTCTCCCAACCGAGCCATCATTCATTCTTCTATCTTAGTCACCTAGGTAGAGAAGAAGTTCGGAATCTCTAATCGGATGAACATCTAGGAGTAAACAAGTGCAATAATCACCGGCGCCCTGAGTAAACATCACTACAATCTATAAATGTGGGCGAATTCCTATGGTGACGACGTCACCCTGGTGCGAGTTTCTTGGCAGTACTGGAAGAAATCTTTGTCCACCAGTTAGTCGACAAGTCTGCTGAAACGCGCATGATTACTGGTAAGCACGAACCATACAAATACCCAGTACCGTTCATTTTCCTCTTTTTCTCAAAGATTTCCGCCACAGAATCCTGTCAGGATGTGCATCGATATGTAGAACTGCAATGCAAGGCGCATATTGTTCAACTTCAAGATCGTCATTCTTGTTTGGAATCATTTCGATTTCAGTAAAGCAGCTAACCTGCTAACCATTCATGAATAGACGAACACTGCTAGTTTTCTAACCCAGATCGCTCGTATCGTACTCACAAAGCGATAAACAAACCCTCTGAGTCACAAGGGGCAATTGGATGCGTCATAGAACACGGAGCGCCGAGTCCAGTCTTTTTCTACCCTGAATGACTAAACGGCTAAATCAACAATGATGTGATGTACCGGAGAACACAGAAAACATTTACACCATCTGTGATAAAATCCACTAGATTTGTCTATTTATTACTCATCGATTCCAGATGCTTTGAAGGTGGAACAGCATTCTCTCCTAGTACCCGTGTTTGAATGGAAGTCGGAATGGAATTCAGGCATACCACCTTTTCCAGAATTCCATTCATTCGTCTTTGTTTTTAATCCACTAACTATCCTACAGGTTTTTCGATAACTTGGAGATGAATTAAGGAATTGGTAAACTCATAGAAGATGTTTCGCCCGTTGCCCTAAGGGTCTATGTAATTTTTTTAAATACCATTCTTATTTTGTGTTAAAAAATGACGTCAACACCAAAATAAGTGATATGTTTGACGATATCATATCGTCCTACTTGATCTATCGAATTCCCTCTTGTTGAAATTTTTCTTGTTTGAGATCTGGTCGACGATAACAAAAAAACGAAAGAGGAAATAAAATGATTCCTGAGCTTGAGAGGCCCGGAAATCCGTCTTAATAGAATAGTTAGGGTTTGTTGGCAGGGATATTTATATCCCAGTCAAAAAAACGAAAGAGGAAATAAAATGATTCCTGAGCTTGAGAGGCCCGGAAATCCGTCTTAATAGAATAGTTAGGGTTTGTTGGCAGGGATATTTATATCCCAGTGATCTCTAATTGGTCTCATAAGGTTTTCCATGAGTTTATCTATATATGTTTAATAGTGGACGCATGAATGAATTCTGGTCACGTATGACCCAATATGACTCAAATTGTCGTGATTACCTTAACACATACAAAACTAGGACAATTCCTTTGTGAATACTGTTTGGAACTACTACAAATTTATCGCCCACATGCGTCTTGTATAAAAAATCCGGCTTCAAACAAGGTTTTTGTAAAATATTGGTTCCAGGGGATAGCCTTTGACAGGATATGCCCCGCTGAACACTTGTGTTCTTTAAATTATCAATAGAATATACACAATGCGCTCAATAAACAATTTTCGATGAAGTAAACTTTAGAGAAGAATACGCGTTGAAATCAATACGCGCGGTCAAGTGACTTGTGTACATTTCAAGGTGGAGTGTTTACTCGTCTAAGGTTTGAATCGTATTAAAGTACCGCTCGCTTTGCACTGATGAGTCACCGTCGGCTCATTTTCGGCTTATTTTCCACCAAAGCACCAATCGATATTCTTATTGGGGCGTGCTTTAGCAGAACATGCCGTCAACACTCTTTGCACTCGCTGCCCTTTTTGCCGTGGCGTTCGTCACAGCCAACACAGGAATGGTCGGCGGTCCGACTCAACAGGATGCCAGCGATCCCGCATACATGGTATGTTAAGGTTTCCCTAACGCCTGTTTAATCTTCCTAATGTTTCTAGAAGTTTTGGAAATGAACCTTAGTGTCTTTAACTGAATTGGACACCTGATGCGACGAGTTTATGCGAGTTCAACGATTTAGGGTTACTTCCTGTAGATACAAAAAAGGTGGTCTCTGATTTATAGATGTGATTTGAAACCACATGACTTCATAGATCTTGAAAGCGTCTAAAATGAACAAATGACATCATAACGTCTTTCTGTATTGCGTTTTCCGTAAATAAGTAAATATTTGCAACATTTTTCTTGTATCTTCTAACATTTTATATTCTTTGTTTCCAATGAATTTACGGAAAACTACAGAAACTTTTGTTTATGTTTTCCAGGAACGGGCTTGGAAGGCTGCCAAAGGTATTAACGATGACGCATCGAACGCAGGGCCATATCACATGATGCCCATAAAGGTGAGCAACCATCAGCTAGAATCCTTAGATTCCGTCTTGTTTGTTATGCTGGTATCAGTAAATAATGGAAGAAAGAGTATTTATTTGTTGGTGGTTGTTTTCGGAATTGTAGTAGTGGTAGTATGGCTCGGCACACGTCCACTGTTCAAGACAATGATTAAAATGGCTCCGGCAAACATAGCTGTCCAGAGTAACCAAAATGCTGTGAGAACGGAGGCTCTGAAACTAGCAATGCTATTACCCTATGTTTTTTGTGCTTTGGTTTTAGTTTGGTGCAACGTTGACGTACCTGCAGGCTTTCCAGAACGTAGTTTGTTTAGCCAGTTCTAATTGCTCCGCAGTTAGTCCTATGTGCGATTTTAAATTCAGTTCTCCATGCTGGAAAATACAGTTTGAAGTGGTAAACGGTTTTTCATTAGGGATATCCATGAATAAGAAAAGGATAAAAGGATAAAGCTGTCTGCGTTGATCAATGCCTTAGTGATATGCCATGCATTCGACTCCATTCGTTGCATCGTAGAGGTGACAATTTATATTTGGCCTATACAATGACTCGAGGCGGTCTACCGATGTATCGAGCCAGTGCTGCTATCCTCCCCTCTCAGACAAGTCTGGTACCAATTTGTAGACCCCGAAGGTAGAGAAGGCTTTGTGGGCCAGTGGCGCGGGAATCGATCTCATGTGTATTGCAGGGCGCCTCCGACCACTGCGCCACACGCGGCCGTATCCATGGATGAGGCTATAACAGTGTCCGTTATCTCAGTGTAATGGCTGTTGTCATTAGAATTATTGGGGAAACATTCCAGTACTTTGTACGAAGTCGAAGTACCTTCTTATTTTCGCTACTTGTCGGTTTTCTACCTATCTCCACCGTCGAGAATTTGCGTAACATCGTCGGTTTCGGAAGGAAACTAGGCGAAGACATATTATGATACAATAGGGCGGATACCATTCACAAATAGACATCAGAAATCATCCAGATTTAAAATAGAATCGAAGGTTACATGAGCGAGTTTCGTGGGCAGTCTTAAGGTCACGTTTTTGAAAGAAATGCTTCAAGTAGTTGTTCTTTTTCCTTAAAAACTAATCAATTGAGACAATAGCAGAACTGGCCGTGACAAGAAGTGCATGATAGCTCGTTGCACACTGATAAGACTAGATGACAGGAGGTACACTGATACAAGATGTCGACCTTTTGATGAAGTTTTCTAGACAGATTAGTAAAAGTAAATAAGTAGCTCGCCTGGATAAGGTACTTCATGTTGTTCAGGTTTTGAAAGCTACGAGTCAAGTAGTTGCCGGTGTTAAGTACACCTTCGAAGTGCTTTATGGTGAATCGACTTGCAAGAAAGGAGTGAGTATATTCTTGTTTCAAATTTGGTATTAAGCAGCAGTAGTTATTCCACTAATCATTTAGGTAAAATGTAGGGTTTCATTTAAACAGTGCGAAGTGGTGGGTCCACTATTAATAGATTGTGGGATGGATATCTGGCTGTTATTTTTATTATCTTTATATACATATTTATTTATTTACCTATTTATTTAGGACTTCTTGGCGGCCGACCTGAATGCTACGAATTGCCAATTGAAATCGGGTGGAAGACGTGCTGTAGGTTTTGTTTTCAAAGTGTGCTTTTCTTTGAGCAACGTTTAAGAAAGAAACCTTTTTCCTTCCGAGGTAGTGACTGTGTTCCTTAGCGTGCTAATTTAGCTTTACGAAGTTGAACTGTGGGAGAAGCCATGGGAAAATTTTGAACAATTCAACGTGAAAAAGCTCAGGAATGTTGCTGCAGATGAGGAGCTGTAAACAGTTATCTGCTTCGTCATATCTTTGATGCCGTGCATTTCGTATTAACTGAAATCCTTTGTATTACACGTATTACAACCTCACATTTTATGTACTAAATGAATATCAAAGCAAGTTTCTATTCAACGAACATTTTATTAGGCTGATGGCTCTCTGAAAATGCCAACGCTGATTTGCTTCTTCGTTTATCAGCTTTTTCAAAGTCGAGTTCATCGAAAATTCTTCCAAATTTCGGTTCCCACACACTCCCTTTTCATCGCGTTCGGGCACGCTTGGTTGGCCTGCGCACCACAAAAAGTCTAGTTCAAACATGATTGTAGTGTGCATCGAAATTAATACATATGGTCCATAGAGTCCGCCGGCGTACATATCGAAATCAACGCGCATGATGACTTAACGGTTAAGCAATATTGTTGCTAACAGAATGTAGTTGCATAGGTGTCACTAAGATTTCATTTCTTAAAAATTGCATTCTTTTCTGGTGATGCCGCGACAGACAGGGGCTTGTTTCGTAAAGCTATCGAGAATCTTGTGGGTTGGCTAAGGATGGATTAACGGTAATCAAGGGACAAGGGTGGCAAGCTAAGGGGCACGTAAAAGGTTCTTTATCGCGTCATCTTTTTTGGAGATTTTAGTACAAGGACATCGAACAGTGCGGTAAAATCTGGAGGACAAGCGCTTTTGATGCGCGAGACCAGTTGACGACAATGTGAAAATCGTTAGCATTTCGATTCAAATCTGATCAGGTTTCTGATCACTGAGTTAGTTTTTGCTTGGTTTTGTTATAATTGTGATCTTGAGCCCCATCCAAGTGGCAGACAAAAGGTCAAAGAAGAACTGAGGCACTGTGTAATTTTTCTAATGCTCAGACAAATTCAAAACAATCCGTACACAACAATGATGCTGAGATATTTGCGAAAGTCCGGACCGTAGTTGCTTGCAGTGGAAACGAACGCGCTATTAACCGTCCCAAGGAATAACGCGTTCACCATCACACTATGCGAGTCCTTCGTTTCGCCTGTCTCTCAGGTAGTTCTGTTCGTCGCGCTAGCTTCCGGAAAGGGTAATAGCACGTTCGTTCCCCACCGCAAGCACCTGCGGTCAGGAGTTTTCTTGATCAACCCCGTTGACAGGTGATTGCTGATGGCGCTGATCGGTAGAACTAGTTGAGAGACAGGAGATACGAAGGACCCGAATGGTGTGGTGGTGAATGCTTTAGCCCCCGGAAAGGGTAGTAATGTGTTCATTCCCCTCCGCAAGCACCTATGGTCCGGAGTTTTGCAAATATCTCAGTATCACTGTGTTTGTTTCACACGTGCTGCGCTGCCATAAAAATTATGATAGGCGGTAAATAAAAGGTTAGCACTGTGAATCCGTACACTTTTTTCTTGCGTCAGGTTAATCTGTGCGTTCATATTTATATTTCTGGATAGGTTTCTGGGTGAGGATTAGTGCATCGCTAAGTCAGTATGCGCCGTTTGAATCCGAGGTCACCTTCAACACATAGGTCCCATGTCTCCAAGCTCAGTCAGTTATCCATAGTAATCTCACGTAAGAAGGGATAAAAGCTACAGAAATGATATCCTACACAAATAGCGCAACTGCCACGACCGACTTTCTGTTAACCTCGGCATTGATCAAGTGATTTTCTTCGTATTTTTGTTGAGCAAACGCGAGGTGTTACTATTCTTTGTTCACGATTAAGCTGACGTTTCGGTGGATTTCGCCTTCCTCAGAGCCGCTTCCTATAAGGTTTCCACTAAGTATGTCACGTAGAGACCAACCGCACAGAAATCACATGGAAGTATAATGTACTCTGTGCGGTTGGTCTCTACGTGACATACTTGGTGGAAACCTCATAGGAAGCGGCTCTGAGGAAGGCGAAATCCGCCGAAACGTCAGCTTAATCGCGAACAAAGAATAGTAACACCTCGCGTTTGCTCAACAAAAATACGAACAAATAGCGCAGTATTCTTCATGTTGGAAACTGGTTATGACTGTTTGAGATGATATCATTGAGGCTTATCGGTTTGCTTATGAATATTGTTGTGTGTCTGGACTTCCTGTGTTCGTATTCTCATAATATGTGCATCAACCCTGATCACTAGAAAAGTAGCCATGTAAGTGGAAGTACCTCTAACACTGTCTTTTTGTTCGTGAGGGGGTATAAATCTCCATTGAATCCAGTTAATCTGAAGCTCCACTCGAAATTACAATGTTCAGCGTTTATCTACTGCCAATAATACCACGCCATGAAAAGGGATGTTCAGCAAATAAAAGTTATACATTTAAGAAAGTATTTCGATATGGTCAATCATGTAGCAGAATTACTGGCACTACCAAGTCAAGTTAAAACGGGTGGCCTCGTGGGTAGTGGTTTCCGAGACGTAAATTTATGTGCATTTATTATATAGTGGGCAGATAGCACAGCAGTAGGTATGTCAGTCTTCACGAGCACGGTACTAGTTCGATTCCGCCCCGAGCCGAACAAGCCTCTCATCCCTCCGGGGTCGGGAAGTTGGTACCGGATTTTTCTGAGAAGAAAATCATTCCCTCCAATCCAATTGGGAACGCTCTTGCCCGGCAATCCTAGGATTCCAGAGAGAATTACTCAACCAGCATTCTACGATATTCAAGATGAAATGAAAATCGTCAGGCAGCAAACGAAGCCACGCGTAAAAGTTGGAAGATCTTCGTAGACAATAGATGCGAGGAAACAAATAGAACGTGAGAAGTGCTGGGATCCGCACGGCATTCATGAAGACGAGTCATAAAAATTAAAAAAAGGAGTAAACTATTAGTTTACTCAGTGAACACCAAAAAAACACTAAAAAGCTAAAAAGTTCGCCTCATCCCGGGCCGCAGTATGACGCGATTCTGGTTCAACGAATGGTGGCATTACCGGTATCGGTTCGAGTGGTCTGATTAGGGACCCATTGATCAGAAACCTGATTGACCAGATTACATATCAAAGAAGCCAGCGAATGATATCCTACATTCCATTCGAAATTTTTATGTTCCCAGCTGGAAATATGAGCCATAAATACTAAAATATTTGTACTGTGCTAGATAAATATTTCCAAGTATTGATTAGGACGCACAGTATTGACTTGATGTCCAGCGATCGCTTTGCATGTGAGCAAGCAGGCTTTCGAAGAGGATTTAGTACGACGGACCACATCCACACGGTAACGCGGTTCATTGAAGTATCGCGAGAGTACAAATGGCCGCAGTTGAGATAAAAGCAGTCTTGGAAGCCTTTGATAGTCAAGGAGTCCCTACTCAGTACATAAAGATTCTTCGTGAGCTGTAGAAGAAGTTCACGGCCAAGATGTCAACATTCTACAACGATATGAACATTGACGTCAAAAGACGAATTGGGCAAGGCGATGACATCTCGCCAAAATTACTTACCGCCACACTCCATAACGTTATGCGAACAATGGAATGGGATAATATGGAAGTGAAAATCGATAGTCGGCAGTTACATCATCTTCGCCTTGCTGATGACATCGTCCTTATAACACTAAACATTAACCAAGTGGAACATACGCTTGACGGCTTTAATAAAGCCTGTGGAAGGATTGGTCTTCGACTAAATCTCACAAAAGCGATGTTCATGAAGGACGGATTGGTTTCGCATGACCCATCCACGCTCACCGGAAGGAATATCTCCGAATGCTCCAGTTATATCCATCTAGGTTGGGAAATCAATATGATGAACGACCTAACTCCAGAGCTGAGCAGAAGAAAACGAGACGAGCAGCTTGGGAGCTTTCAAGAGCATCCAGGATGTAGTGGTGAGAACAAATAACACCCGACTTGGTGCCCACCTTTTCGACTCTGCGGCACTTCCTGCCCTAACGTATGCGTCAGAAACCTGGTCGCTGCGTAAGCAGGACGAAAGGTCACTCAGCGTTATCGAACGCGCAGTCAAAAGGACGATGCTAGGAGTATCCCATTTCACACAAGTAAAGAAAGGGATCCGAAGCTCCGATCTGCAGCAACGATCAAAAATCAAAGATGCCGTTCTGTACGCCAAACAGTCAAAGTTGAGATGAGCCGGACATGTAATGCGTATGAATGACAACCGATGGACAACAGCCGTTAGTGACTGGATTCCTCTGGATGTCAGACGTACTGCACGAAGCCCACCGACCCGATGGTCAGAGTTCTTCACAAAGAGCATTGAAGAAAGATATGATGCTCGACGAGTCCCTAGAGCGAGCAGAACCCACTGGGCTACTCTTGCACGCGACAGGGAAATATGGAAGATTTACTGGCGCCCTCTCGAGTCACTCCAGGATGAGAAAAAATTAAAGTATGAGAAAAAATGATGAAAGGTGCAAAACATCTACCTCACTTTTCTATAGATTCCTGTGAATGATTTTTCGAAATAAACAAAATAGCACAGAGTTTAACAGCTTCTGATAGTAAAAAATAGAGTAGTGTGCGTTAGAAACACTTTCATCGATAAAAGGGTAAAGGATAAAGCTCTCGGCGTTGATCAGTCCCTGAGGGATACGCCATGACTTCATTGGGTATCACTGGAGGTGACTGAATGCATATCTAGCCGTTACAATGGCTCACGGTGGCCTATCAATCTGTAGAGCCAGTGCTGCTATCCTCCCAGGCAAGTTTGGTACTAATTTGCCCACCCAGGAGAGATGGAAAGCTTGGTGAGCCATGGGCGCGGTAATCGATTCCACGTGTGTGTCGCAGTGGCGCCTCCAACAACTGCGCCACATGCGCCCTTTCGTCGGTATATTCACTTATCTGTTGATCAGATTTCTTGTACGCACGAAGAGAACACGAGCAAAACAGTCCAGACTGGTCATGGTTATTATGCATAACTGATAAAACGCTATCACATCACCTCAAACGGTGATCAGCAAAGTTTTCATTCGTTTCTTTCGAGCCTTAGTGATATCTGCCCACCTCGCACTCTCTATAGCAACTATTGCCAGAATAGTTACTATTCATTCATCATATCGTAGATC